TGTGTGTGTGTGTGTGTGTGTGTGTGTGTGTGTGTGTGTGTGTGTGTAGTTGCCTCCGATGCTCATGAACCTGTTCCCCGGCTGCAGCGCGGCTGATGTTTTGTCCAGTCCAGCAGGACAAGCAGTCAGAGCTCAGCTGATGGACTCCATCCAGGCCTGCAGCTCCTCCTCTGACCGACAGAGGTCAGCAACACAACACATTCACTCAAAGGCTGGGAAACGCCTCACAGGCTGGGAAACGCCTCACAGGCGGCAACCTCCGGTTCTGCAGAGTGAAGACGATGCTTCAAGTGTTAAAGCTGCATTCTCTCTAGTGTCCACCAGGGGGCGACTCCTCTGGTTGTATAGACGTCTATGAGAAAATGACTCTACTTCTCTCTTGATTTATTACCTCAGTAAACATTGTAAACATGAGTTTATGGTCTCAATCTCTAGTTTCAAGTCTTCTTCAACACAGCATGATGTTCATTTAGTACATTATGGTCCATTTAGAGTCACACAGACCATAAAGCAGGGGATGCTTTAGGGCGGGGCTACACGGTGATTGACAGGTCTCTACCAGAGACGTATACGGCGTCTCTACGTTACTCCTCCTCAGTCCAGATATGGTCACTTCCTGTTCACTGGTTGTAAAAACCAACATGGCGACGGCCAAAAGGCTTCAAAACATCAGTCCACAAACCGATGAGAGATGTCACCATGACTACGTCCACTTCTTACATTCAGTCTATGATCACCACAGAGGTTTCTGTCTCTGTTATTTTATCTCTCTTGTGGACAATCGCGTCTCCTCCGTCCCACCAACACTGTGAGGCTCTGAGCTGAAGGAGGACGCAGCAGGAGAGAGATTGAGGGGCGAGGGAACTGCAGACGGGTGAGGATTGTGAGTTGATGAAGAGAGACGGCGGGTTGAAGATGGAGGAATTTCTCGGGACTCGTATACTTGTCGGGGTTTAGCGGTCGGGACAGGAAGGTTTGATGGAGTGTGTCTGAAGGATGAGCAGCTCGGTCCTCACTGTCAGCCCTGATGAAAGATTCAGTCCAGCTCGGCCTCAGACAGACTCAGAGAGACGGCCACGATCTACACATCTGTCACCATGTTGGAGATATTAGTACAGATGGACATTTGGGAAGTAACTAACCTGCACTTCTTCAGCTCAGAGCGGCCCAAAGCTCTTTAAAATAGGACTATTCTGGGATTCTTCTTCTTCTTCATATTTCAGAAGACGGGAGGCTTGTGGGCATCGTGACTTTTTCAAGTCTCACTTTGTTTCTGCGATTGTAATTCAGTACCTCTGAAAAATGAGCTGAACCATTTGACAGAGAAGAAGAAGAAGGGAACCTTTAAGTTGCAATAATGACAAACAAATAGAGAAGAGACACTTTTTAATTATTATTTCTCAACTGAAATACGAGACTTTATACATTAAATGATCAAAAGAATGCCCACTCACAGGGGAAAGCATCTCTTCATAGATCTTGTTTGTGTACTGAGATATTTTCCTGCAGAAACAGAAACAAACACAAACTGTTGACACGAAAGTCAACTTTCTGCTATTTTTCTATGAAATCGACTATTTTACAGATAAATCGATTCGTAAGCACTTAATTTCCCTCCTTCCTTGTGCATTTACTTTAAGTCCATTTTATTTTTTGACAAACTGTATGTCCCTGTATAATGTAGCACAAGACAAAATGCAAAGCTGCCGGTTAATGCGTGCTCTGGAGATGTGCTATGTGATACACTAAATATGCTCCCCATGTTCTTACAGTACGGAGTAAATAGTGGTGCGATATAAAATTATTCTGTAGTTGGAGCATTATTTTATATCGGTCTATCCAAATATTCCAACCTCAGAGCTCTTAAATATAAGATCTTATGCTCTCCATATTCCTACAGAACACTTGTGTTTTTAATCAAAATCAATGGACTCAATGTGACGGCAATCGCTTTGTGCTACGCGGTAAGGCAGCATTCACCTTTATTGGATAGTTCATAGTGACGTGGGGGGGGGGGGGGGCACTGTATAACATTTGCATTGATTTCGGGAAGCTTGTTATCAATTATTGATGTCGTCATTGTCTCAGGTGATTGTGGTTCGACTCCTTTTTTTTGATTGGTTGTTGCAGCCTGCGGCTATGAAGATGTTTCATACCGTGAGTCGTTATGAAACTCTTTCAGTCTGGGAGTCTTGCTGCCATGTAGGACGGTTGGGGGGTGGGTTTGGACGTTTTTCATAAATAAGTTTCATATCTGTATCACGCTCACAGAAACACATAAGGCCACTTGGTTTACATTGTGAAGCGTTTGGTTTGGTTTAGGCAACAGAACTACTTGGTTAATGTTAGATCGAACACGGTGGTTAATAATCAACAACAGCGCAACAGCACCTAGCCGACTTCCTTACGTAACGTTACATAACGTATTAAGTAATGTAAAAACTGTAAAATCAATGCTTACTTCATCGGTCTCCTGGGTTTAACAACAAACGCGCAACATTCTTTCTTACGCACAGCTATGTAAAACAATATTACTTAATAAGTGTAACGTCAACGTTT